TGGCGAAAGCCCTTGGCCTTAAAGGGAATTATTTCGAACTTATCGAAATAGTAACCTGTCGTCGTTCGATCGAGGTTGAACTCTTCTTTTTTTGGCGAAGGTCCTTGGCCTTAAAGGGTGTTATTTCGAACTTATCAAAATAGTAACCCGTCATCGTTCAATTGAGGTCGAACTCTTCTTTTTTGGCGAAGGCCTTTGGCCTTAAAGGGTGTTATTTCGAACTTATCGAAATAGTAACCCGGAGTCAGTCCCAGTTTTCGGAGTGCCAAACATTTTCTGGGAGAGTCCCAGTTCGTTTGACATTGCTTGCATCAGGGGTTGCAACGTTGGAGAATAGAAAACGTCGCTATTTCGCTTAGGTTCGTTCTGCGCACACATTGTAGTTTCCTTGTCTGACTTCTGCCTTCCGGCTTGGAGGTGTCACCAGCGGGCGGTGTTTTGGTTATTTCGTAGTAGTTTTTCATTCTTTTATTGAGATGCTTCTTTACTCGCTAGTCCACGCGGCTTTTGTGTTCCTTCTTGAGCAAAGAGCAGAAGGTGAGTTAAAATGATACTTTCCTTGCCCCTACCCGGTGTTCCAATGGGGGAGAACAGGTTGGTAACGCTGTTCGTCTTGTTTGGCATTTCGATGGTTGATGGGGCGAAGATTTCTAAGTTTGTCGATTCTACTCGGCTCTCCTCCCTCTACCGTGCTGTGCTTTTGTCTCGCATGGGTTGGGTTTTTCCTTCGCACTCTTTTTGGTGGGTGATCGTATTTCTTGTCTTTGATCTGGGAGAGACTAGGAAATTTCACTAAGAAATCCCCACAGACAGTGCCAAATTGTTTAACTCAAAAGATATCGAAACCTTTTTGAACAAATCAATCAAAGAAGATGAAGGGGTAAATCTTAGTCAGGCATAATAAATTCCAGATCAAAGGGCTAATAGTATGAATTGTATATAGGACGAAGAAGATATAAACGATCTTATTGAAATTCAATATTGACCCCCATCGATCGATGGGAGAGATAGCTTTACATGTTCTTCTGTAGATTACTTCTTTCCTATCAAGATGACAAGAAGAGAGCTTGGGAGAGAGAAAAGTGGAGGGAACCTCTCTCTTTAATCGAAGGTTTTCCCCTACTATATATAGCCATGGCACCTTGGCCATTTACTTGGCCTGACGCTCTCTCGCCTCCAGTGTGTCTTGGTCGTCCTTTTAGGCATTGCTCTTTCCGACTCGATGGGTGTCGGGAAAGGGACGTAGAATGGGTTGTGTTATCTTTCACTGCCCGGTCACTTAGGTGGGACGTTGGTCAGTTCGACCGTGACGGTCAGATTTTGACCAATGTACAATAACCAGTCTATCTTAATGCAAACATTAGTGGTTGTTTCTACGGCTTGAACTTGTAACATGTAAGTTATGCGAAGATAACTAATTTACCGTTGCTCCAATATTTCTCTATTAATCAATGTGTTTTTTATATAAGAAAAAATATTCAAGTTAAGTGTTTTCTTCTCCTTTATTTAGGGTACGCTCATTCTAGAAATCCTAAATCTGCTTCTATAATAGGCTCCTCGGGTTAGATAAACTCAAGAGTTTAATAGCGTGTTTGGCCAAGTTTCTAAAATCAGCTTATTTTGAGAAGTGTTTTTCTCAAAAGTATCTTTTTAAAAAGTGCTTATGCTGAGAAGCAGTTTGTGTTTGGCTAATTAATTTAAAAAGCACCTTTGAGCAGTAATTAGTGTTTGGCCAAACTTTTGAAAACTGCTTTTAAGTATATTTTTCTCAAAAATGCTTCTCAGAAAAGTGTTTTTGAAGAGAAACTACTTTTTTCTACTTCTCAAAAACTGCTTCTGCTTCTTCTCAAAAGCATTTTTTTTTCCTTCCAAAAGCTTGGTCTAATACCTCAATTTTTGACCAAAAATACTTTTGACAACAAAAAAAAACACTTTTGGTCCAAAAAAAACTTGGCCAAACAGGCTATAAATGAATGAGTTGAGGTTAAAGTTCAATAAGTAAAAAATAAATAAAACCGTTAAACTAAAAGTGTTGATCATGACTTACGAATGGAGTAATGGACCTAACCTGGCAGTTGTTGAGTGGGACCGAAATTACGTTAACTCACACTCGCTTAGCTCATTTGAAATAGATTAATCCACTATGAATGAACCTATATTTGTTTATATCACTCACCCAAGGCCGTTAAAATAAATTTAGATGGCATAAGTGATATAATTTACACATACTATACATTTTATGATATATACAGGTAAACTTTTACCATTTAAGTATGTTCTGGACGAGTAAAATCCTAATCTATTTTCTGAATCAATCAGTTTTGGTGCTTCTAAATTAAATTTATTAATTCAACATTCACTGTATATCAAGAAGTTAAAAGGACATGAAAGGCGAAGACGTCATTGATCACGTGAAGTTCAATATGGAATGATGTGGAAAGTTGATAACCAAATACTACTTTTTAGCAACTTGGCTAAATTTTTATTGGAAACAGAAACAAGAAAAGGTTAGCAAATTTAGCGAATGTAAGGAATAAAAAAGAAAGAGCTCTTCGCATTAAATGACATTTGCTCGCCTCCTTCATAAGACCGCCCCCTCCTCCACCACACAACATGAATTTCTTCCCTAGTTTTATTTTATTTGTGTAACCTGTGATTCCCTGTTCTTTACGCTTGCGTTCTGAAATTTTTGTTGATAGTTACGTATTCCCCATTATTATTGTCATTTTTATAAACTATTATTCACAGAAAATAAAAGACATTCCCCTCTTCATTTCTAGCTCCATCTCTGCCACATGCTATGTCGCGCTTGTACATATAGTTTGGTTTCATTTTTGTCAACAAAAAAATCAGTGTGCTGGTATTTCATAGTCCTCGCCATTATTTTATCTGCTGAAACAAGAATCTGTATGGTCAAGAAATGTATAGTATTTTGAGTTTCAATCTATATGAGGTAGTTTAATTTGACACGAATTTAAAAAAAAATCTTTTAAAATTTGTAATTTTAAAAGCTTAAGTTGAAAAATCTTTGAAGGTCTATAACATTAATATGAGTATAAATATTTCTCATTAAGGATAATATGGGTGTTACTATTGGTTGTTACTTGTTGCTTTATCTTGACTGTTTCTTGAGCCGATGGACCACTGGAAACAACCTCTATAAGATAAGGATAAGATTTACGTACACACTAACTTTTCGAAATACAGTACCATTTATAAAAAGTATAAAATTGAATTATTTTCAACTATAATTTTTTTTTTCTTTCTGACGCACTAATAAAAAAGTATGTCAAATGGGAGAAGTATACTGGAATAACTGGTGGGGCCTGGAACTTGCAGAGTTGCAATTTTCAGGTCACATCATTTTGATATGTTGCTAGTTGTGGGCCTTATTAATCATCACTCATCAATTAGACGTTTTCTTGGCCGCGGGGGCGGGGGCTCTACACAGAAGTGGTAGTATCTAACTAAATTACTCTTATGGTTATAAATAAGATTTTATTTATGGTGAATATCAATATTTAGAGAGATTTTGGGTTTGTTACTTGATGACTAAGTCACTCTTCCCCTATAAATAAAGGGGTTCTATTCCATTGTAATTCATCCCAAAATCAATAAGAGTTCTCTCTCCCTACTTTTCTCTACAATACTCTTCTTCTTCTTTTATTGTTTCATAACACGTTATCAGCACGAGACTCTAACCAATTGATTAGAAGCTAAGATGTATTGTCTTCATATGATCTTGTTAGAATCGTCAGTTCAATATCTTCACATAGAGATATTACATCTCTATCAAGAATGATGATTTCAAGATGCAATATATTCATTCAAGTTAATATGGCTGATTTGTTTATCATGTCTCTACCAAAGATCGTTTGAAGATGATGTATTGGAATGCAAATGCTTAAAGATGTGAATTAATGCTCTCATCAGGGGGAGTTAATACACGTTGTACTCTTTTTCCCTTACAAGGTTTTGTCCCACTGGGTTTTCCTTGCAAGGTTTTTAACGAGGCAACCAAAAGGCGTATAGTTAGATATGTGTACTCTTTTTCCTTCTCTAGAATTTTTTTCTCATTGGGTTTTATTTTAGTTAAGGTTTTAACGAGGCACATTATCTCTTGAATAGACATTCAAGAGGGAGTGTTATAAATAAGATTTTATTTATGGTGAATGTCTATATTTAGAGAGATTTTAAAGTTTGTTACTTGATGGTTAAGTCGCTCTTCCCCTATAAATAAAGCAGGGGTGGGCATAAAATCCGAAAAATCAAATTCCGAACCGAACCAAATTAATTTGGTATTTCGGTTTCGATTTTTTCGGTATTTCGGTCTAATTCGGTACTTGAATTTCGGTATTTCGGTTTTCGGTTTTATAATTGAACTATTTCGTTAAACCGAAATACCGAAATTTGGTAATATATCATACAACCCAAATCCCCAAACCCAATTACCTATTTTATAAGCCCACACGGCCACAGCCCACACGCCCACACCCAGGCCCAGCTGCGTCCCACTCCCACCCAGGACCATCTCCCCCAACTCCCAACCCAAGCCCAATCCCAATCAAATAATCGATTAGACTTAGACGATTACCCAACAGTCCAACACTCAGAGTCTCAGACTCAGTTAATACACTAGGGCTGGGAGATATCATCGAGAATTCGAGTTCGAGATAAGGTATTAAGGTTTGCTTACTGCTTCAGCCTTCGGTGCTTAGGAGATATCATCGATAACGAGAAGAAGAAGAAGACGAGAATCGACTGCGACTCTAGGATATCAGTCAACGAGTCGAGTTACGACCAGTCGACATTCGAGCTCGAGTCTCATCTCATCTTCACCGGTTAACTTCATTACTTTTGTAAGTTTTGTAAGTCTCATCTCATTCTCATGATCTCATCCCAGTACTCGACTACTCTCTGAGGTTTTTTTTGAGATTTAATTTCTGATTTTCGGTATCAAACTATTTTAGGGTTATAGGCGGCGATTTCCAGCTCGATTCGATTCCTCAACAAATTCCGGTCAAACGAAGTGTCGAAGACGCTGCTGTCCTGTTCCAATGTTCCGAGCTCGATTCAATTTCAATTTCAAAGGTATGTTTCGCTTTCTTTTAGTTGTATTGCTGATTGAATGAACTGATGTTCCGAGCTTTTCTCTTTAGTAGGAAAATATCATCTGTATCACGTTCATACTCTTTCTTTTGGTTGTATTACCTTGTTTAGGTCTGATTTTTTGAACTTTACCATATCATATGAGCAACTAACAATAGCAGACTGCTCTCTTTGAAA